GGCACAATATTGGTGGCAAAAAAAGTGCAGACGAACGAAAAAAACAAAAGGAAGAAAAAAGAGACACCAAAAAAAGAAACGAGAAAACGAAAAGGAAAAAGRAAAAAGAAAACAAGAAAGAAAAGAAAGAAAAGGAAAAAGGGAAGAAAAAGGGAGGACAACAAGAAAAAAGGAAAAACAATACCCTTTCGGAATCAATCAGGGGGGTATACTGCGAAATGGTGGGGAGGGTTCTCAGAAAGCAGATGATCTTACTGCTGTTCCCCGTTTTTCCTCTGTCCCTGTAATCTTCCGTTTCCTGTCGACCCCTGTATGCGCGTGTGTGTGTGTGTGTGTGTGTGTGTGTGTCCCACCCGCTTACCCACCGTTTTTTGGGGGCTAGGGGAGGAAGGCCGGATCCCGAGGGGCATCCGGCCATCCGGCCCTAGCCCCCCGGTCGCCACAACACACCTCACACAAACACTCATCCACAGTTAGTACATGCGGAATCTTGTGATCAAAATGCTCCTAACCATGCCATCATCAACTCGTCCTGGTTGATAGTCTGCTCTGTTGAAAAATACTTTTTCGACAATTTTCCAGCATTCTTTTCTGCCAAATCCTTTGGCAATCATGGTCTGCACGAGTGAGTGGATCTCGTAGGCAGCCTCCTGTTCGTCAGAGCAGAGGAGCAGGATCAGAATGGTTTGTGCGGTGAGGATTTGCAAAGACTGCGTGATGCTGCGGTTGGATTTGAACTTCGTAAATTTTACGGGGTTAAAGTTCAGTCCTTTTTTCTTGTCATGCTTTGACGTTGCGAATGTACCGTAGGCTGTGGAGATGACCGATAACATGATGTTGAGAAAATTGGCAACTAATCCTTGACCCTCTTCTTTTACTTCTGTGGTTTCTTTTATTTCAATGAACTCGTGAGGGTAGATCTTTCGAGTGGGGTACTGGCCAGGTACTCCGTCTTTGAGGAAGCCAGCGATGACCGTATTGTTTAGAGAGCAGACGTCATCGATATATCTGTAGGTTTCCTCGAAGCATCTAAGCACCTGCCATTCCTGGTTTCCGACCAGGTGCGAGATTAGTTGGAAATTCGTACTTAAAAAAGTAAATATCGCAGAGGATGGGTGAGCACGCTAATCCCATAAGAATCCCAAGGATCTGCCTCCAGACCCTATCCCCCATCTGCACAAGTGCATTGGTCACCAGCCATTCACACGCGTCGATGATCTGAGCTTCGTCGAAGTAGAGCTTGTCGTAGTCCTTGTCCTCTTGCCCGTCTACCCAGCGAGGGTGAAGTGTGCCATTGGCGGATACCATGATCACTACCACGTCCCAGGCTGTCCTGGCTCTTCTCCATTCCATAGCACAACCGACGAAGAATCTGATAGCAGCAATTAGACTGTCCTCGGAGTTATCTGTAGGGATCCTCTCGAAGCATCGGGTGATGTCAGCAGTGAAGATCGAGTAGACACGTCGTGGGAGATTAGCCACAAATTCTCCAATGGATGTGATAGGCCACCAGAAATTCAGATTGACCCCTCGTCCCGATCGCCTCGGTCTTCCCAGCGCATAATGCCTGTACGTCTTCTGCTACAAGGTTCAGCACGCAGGTACATACGTCCGCGACTGCTGATAGGACGCTGCCAGCAGTATTGGTAATCCATCTGAAGGATTCCTTGTGCGCTTTGTAAACAACCATGAGATGTGGCAGCGGCGGCTTCTCGTCTGTCTGTCTGAAAGGTGCGATGGCGCTGGCTTCTTCAGCAAGTCTCTGCTCGATGGCTGCCAGCGGCTGCTGCAGGGCGATGAAGTCTGGTCCCGAGAGCCGCTCTAACGCCAGACTTCTGATGAAATTGACGCAGACGAATGTCGGCGTATGCGGTGCTTTATCCGTAGGGCAGACGAGGTATCTTTTGGTTAGCCAGTCGATCTCCGCACGAACAGGGATGTTGTTGATTGGTTCTTCCGTGATGTGCCTGTGCTGCGAGTGGTACTGCCGGATGCTGGATTTCGCCTTGCTCATTACGAAATTCTTCACCTGTTTCTCCTCCTCCATGGACAGCTCCGCGTCACAGGTCCTGGTGGCGAGAATGCAATCTAAGGCTTCCTCGATTTCTGCCATGGCGAAATCCTCGTCCAGTGCCCTCATCGGAATATGGTTCAGCCCAGCGTTGAGCATTAGCTGTAGTTGCCCGTTATTCGTGATCCCTGTGTCGTTTGTGATGACGTGCATACTCCTCCCTGCAGGCAGCATCCTCATAGAGGCAGGGCATAGGAAGTCGAAGTGCCTCCCAGCTCCGCATCTGCAGTATTCAGGGTCATACTTCGCTTCCCACTCTGCCATCTTGAACTTCCTGAATACCTTGCCAGGTTTGCACAGCTTCGTGCCCAGAGGTTCATCATACTTCCATCCGATGGTCACCTCGTCTAGCCATCCTCCCGATCTTTCGCCTACCACCTGCTTCAGTCCCTCCAAGACTAGTCCTCTTAGTGATACAGCTTCCATCAATCTGCTCGTGTATCTAACATTATGAATTCCTTCCTGCCCAGCTTCTTCCTCCTCCACGCAAGTCTTCTTGAGGGTAATCGCGTCATGCAACCTCCATCTTCTTGCTCAAAGAGCTCCGCCTGCGCACCGAAAGGGACGAGTCGAAACGAAGAGTAACAGAATTCCGGGGACGAAAAAGACAACGGACGGGGAGACGGGGCGAAGAAGAGAGGATACTTGAGGAAAATTTATTATATGCCGGATCGAGAAAAAAATTGGAAAATATACCGTATACGCATGCAAGTTTCATGGCGTTTGGATGCATCCCCTCTTCGCCCTCTTGTTCGTGTCATTCTTCCTTTTGCCTCTCTATGACTCGGCCGTGGACAAAGCGGAACCCCCCTGGGCAGTGAGCTGTCCTCTGCTTTCGTTAATTCACAAGCTGCCGCCATTGTTCGCTTTGGCTCTGCCGCGGGAGGTGCCAGTACCTGCTAGGTGTGTTGCTCTGCCCGTCATTCGCAAGGCTTGCTGCTGGCCTGTTGTGTGGCGGGGTGCCCAAAGCATCCGACCTTCCTTCCGTGTCCTGCATCGATTGCTGTTGTGGCGGGTTCATTGCTTGGGGGCCCTCCTGTCTGGGTCTTGGTTCGAACGGGAGGACCCTCTCTCTGGGCGAGATGACGAGGGGCGGGTGACCTTGCTGCCTTTTGTTGGCCTGATCGTTCGGCGGATTCCTTGTTCTGACTCTGGGATTGCCTGTGATCCTGGGGGGCAGGAGGATTCTGCCGATGATCAGCGGAGTGTTGTACTTCAATTTGGATCTGTCAATCACAGTTTCCGCTGTGAGGGATGGGTCCCGCTCAAGCCCTGTGATGACTTCCGTCATGGTCTCTCTGACGAACATGAAAGTGACACATGCTTCGATCGCCTCCTTCCATGATACTCTCAGGAAGTGGATGAACATGGAGGTTTTCATTTTTACGGAGGCTACGTTAGGGAATAACACATCCGAGTGTGCGAGAAGGTACCATATCGCATGGTCTACCCAGATGGGACCATTCCCACAGTCCCTCTTTCGCTCAAAAACGCATTGGCACCTGAGATATGGCCGCCCGACATTCCAGCATTTCCTCAACCCCTTTAAGTCGAATTCCGGGGCGGATCTGATTTTTTTTTTGCCACATGGTCGGGTGCGTGCAATCGCATTTCGATGGGTCAACCAGGGAAAGGACAGGGAATTTCAAGAGGGTTGGTTCGAACGACTTCTTCCCGGGTGGGCAGTAAGGTAAGTCGCCTGTCATCCCGTTTGCTTTGCATCTAGCGACTTCCTCCATCGTTAGTTTGCCAAGGAAGACAAGGGCGTTGAGGGAGAATGGGGCAAGATAATTGAGCGTGTCGAGCTTCCAGAGTGCTTGCCTAAAGCCGAGACCCATGTGCTCTACCCATTGCGGAGAGGGGAGAGGCGCAAAGGATGTGTATTGCCCCCCTTGGGACGCGGTAGCTGCAGGTGGGCTGCTGATCGCATCGGCAGTGATGGCGGCGATGGCGGCTTTCATCTCCGCCATTTCATCGTCGTCCATGCCCATCGCGTCAGCGATAGCACAATCTGTCTAAGTCTTTTCAGGCGCCAGCACCTGGAGGTGCGAATGGTCCAAACCCCAGACTTTAAGGAATAATTGTTCGACCCTAGCGATTCTAGCGGGTAGTTCAAGACATTCTTGTCCATAATCTACCTTCCTTCCCCCGAGTTCCATAGCTAATCCTATGAGCTTCGCATCGAACGCTTCCCTACCCCCATCCCAGGCGGAGGCGAGATTGGCGAGATCACTGAACCCTATCTTGCTAAAAAAATTAGGAAACCGCCCGGTCTCAACCATCGTTTTCATTGCTTCCAGGATTTCAGGCTTCATGGTGGCGACGAGCGCCTGCGCCGGTTTGCTGGGCCACACGTGGTCCCTTAGCCACATGTGCTTGCCAGTGATCTCATCCCACCAACCTCCAGGAAAGAATTCCTTCGGAGGAATCTGCAAAACAAACAGACAACAAGCCACGACATAGAACTGACAGGGGAAAACAAGGATGGGAAAGCTTGGTAAAACCATGGAGTTATGTTTACAGCTCGTTCCTTGGTGCAAGACCTGGATGCTCCCGTTTCCATCCAATCCCATATCCTTCCGGATGCTCTTCGGCGGCCACCCATGCCATCCTCGCTCGATTCTACACAGGGGTACGGTTGGTGGGACACACCACCAACGGCGCTGACGGGGGGCTTACCCCACGTAGTTGTGTGTAATGTTACGTCATGTTGTGAAACATCATGTCGAAGCGTGGTACGGAACCCATACCACGATCAAGCCCCGATATAATATTTCGGCGTAACCCCCATTTTACTTGTCAAGCGGACATGGGGTTTTTCACAAGCCATTCTGATCCGAATACAGGAGGAATCAGTTCGGGAAACCCTGGGGCGGTATTTTCCGGTACTTCTGCACTCAATCTTTCGACCAAGAGGCGCTATCCACCCGGTGTTCCGAGTACAAGGAAAAAGCAAAAATGAAAAAGCAAAAGTAAAAAGGCATAACCACTTCAATGCGGAATCTATTCAGAATAGGGATAGAAAGATCCTGATAGCTGCTGATATCTTCAAAGAATCGCAGTTGCGATTCTAAACAGTACTTCCGAGACCTTTGATATTAGTTGTGAGAACTGAGACTGGTGCCGAGTGAGGAAGATTCATAGCTGTATTTCCTGGTTAGCGCAAATGGGTTAGGATCGGATTATGTAAATCAGTCATCCAATCGGGTAGTTYCTCAAGTTTTGCCGAAAAAAAGGAAGGGAGAAAAAGAACCAGTAAAAGGAAGAGAAAAAAAATTGCACTTATGCGTGAAAAACAGGGGCAGATCTTGGAAGCGTTGGTATCTTTAGGTTCCTAATCTTCGTAGTACTTTGAAAGGGGCTCAAAAAGAAATTTATGACCCATCGTTGGTGTAAAGTACACTTGAACACGAATCGATGGCTTTATTTTACGTATGCGATCGATTATTACGATAACTTAAGTAAGCAGGCAAGACTGGTCATAAATACGGACATCTCATAGGCCATCTATTGTGGCAGTAGCTAGTAATACAACACATGCAAAAACAAGCAAGGAAATCTCTATCCTTCAATCAGCCGTTGCACAGAATAGGATCTTACCCTTGATCGCATTTCCTAAGTTGGTGTGGCTAATCGAACGGAGGTAATATCAACCCTCGAGCTCGGCCCTTCGGTCAGCAGAGTGGTGTTACAACCGTTCGTGACTATTTTCCAGGCGAGATTCCGGATGCGCATAAAGAGATCATACATGCTATTGCGATGAGATATGCAAAWCATGCRTTYGCAAACCAGATATTGAGAGGACATCTTCTATATTTTCATGAGCGGCGGTAGTACCACACATCGTGCCCAACCCCATGGTCAGTCGAGTGGTGTTACAACCGTTCGTGACCAGTTATCAAACGGGATCAGAGCAAATATAGACCTCAGAAGAGGCGAAATTCCATGCGTGCAAAAATCATACATGTTATGAAATCTACACAAATATAGAGACGTCATTGAATTTGGAATGTTATGGTTAAACGAACGGTGGTAGTACCATCCATCGTGCTTGACCCCATGGTCCGCCGAGTGGTGTTACAATCGTTCGTGACCAGCTGGAGTGAAGATAAAAAAGAAAAAAGGAAAAAGGAAAAAGGAAAAAAAAGGAAAAAAAAAAAAAGAAAAAAAAAGGAAAGGAGAAAAGAAACAAGGAGAGAAAACGAAAAAAAGAAAACAGAAAAAAAAATTCAAGAAAAAAAAAATTTGGAAGCCCACAAAGAAGCAGTCATACATATTGTAGTGAGGAGGTATGAAATCCACACGGTCGAAACACACAGATACCGAGAAAGCACCGTAGTTGGTCGTCGAGCTGAATCAATTCCAAGTTCCCCAATTAGGACAGCAAGCGGGGGCAGCGGGAGTGGAATGGGGGGAGAGAGAGAAGTAGACCGGCTGCATTCCCAGAGACGTCTCCACATAATATGGGAGATGGCGTCGACAGCCAAAGCAGGGAGGGTAGTGGCAATCCCTGAAGCGCTTTTCTCCCGTTAGCCACCATTGCACGGCTTCATCAGAGGGAAAACTCCTGCTATGGACGTTTGGGTAATGAGAGGGGTGGAGGGGGAGGTAGAGTCTGCAAATGGTGTAAGAAGGCTAGAAGCGCGAGAAAAGCAAGCAAAGCAATGAAGGCTAGGAGGACGATGGCAGAAATTTCAACAGCGACTAGAGCTCTGTTCTCTGCGTCATCCTTTTGCAGTGCCATAGCCAGCAGCGTGAGAGTTTTCGCGAGCGCCCACCGTAACAACTCGTAGGGGGCGACTATCAAAGCGAGCATGCCTTCCGTCGCGCGCAGTGCAAACAAGCAGAGCGAGTGTTGGCAGCGCGTGCAATGGCTTGTGCCCGCACCGTGTAATGGCAGTGCTCAGCGCA